GGTTATTATTAAAGGTAATAGTATAGTTTTTATACTATAGTAGTATACTACTTATATTATCTATAAAGACCTAAATTATTTGGCGGTAGTTAGTAGCTATATCGAGAAGGTATTCTAGCTTAAGTACCTCTACTCGTATATAATAATAGATCTATATAATGTCGATTCGATACTAAATAGATATCTATATTAAAAGATAACGAATTTCGATTAACGGAGTTATAAGTTATTATCGAAGGTAATAGTATAGTTTTTATACTACGGTAGTATATAGATTACGTATATAGGCCTAAACTATTTATAAGTAATATTATAAATATATAATAACTTAATACAAATAAGTCGCACGTAACTATAAGTTAGTTTCTAGGTAGGTATAGTATATATTTAATATAATACTAAGTTGTATTTATTTATTTTTAGTATTAATTAAGACTTTAGTCGATAGAGTTTTAGTGGGGTTACGATGTCGACCCGAAGCCGCCTGGCCGCAAAGCCGCCGCTAAACGTATAGACTAGAATTGTGGATTCCCACATAGATTTCCCGATTTTGACCGCTAATATCGTTACATGTCGTCGCATGTCGTTAGAAGTCATTGTATACCGTTGCCACTCTCGATTCTTTTCAATGTCTAATCCTGTAAAGGTTCGTATGACTAACACAATATGTACTCGGAAGTAGGTAAATTATAAAGTCAACCATCGAATCGATAACCAAGGTGCCCACGAAGTCCAAAAACGCCAGACCGACCCGGATATCATCAAATGCCCCCACAAACATCGGACAGTACAAGAGGGGAATCGCCCGTTTCCGTCCAATAAAATGCGCCTTTGAATGCCCATACCGAAAGCTCATGATAGGTACTACATCCCCGAGAAAATGTCTATCGTTGTATGCCACCCGATGCCTTTCGCTGAAGTGGCATTTGCATGTTGAATCCACTAGCTCGACGTGCTGCAACGTTGGCCATACCTGTCCCAAGCGAGACCCCTCCATCCATTTCGGCATCTCCATCCAGGTCGACATGGATAGTATCGGCGTTTGGCCGTTTCTTTTCTCCGTCACCGTTAACCTTGAAGATATTGACGGTGAAACCGTTCGTGGCATTATGAAGTTGTTCATATAACCGCTGCCGCATATATATCTTCTCAATAGGCATATGTACCAGAGGTGGCACAACAGGTTGAGGATTCCAGTTCGAGAGACCATGCATTACAGCTGTGAGTTCCTCATCCGAATCAACAGGTCCATTGGCGGCTTCTTCGTCCTCCAGAGGAGCATTGGCATCTATTGCGGCTTCTGGAGGGAGATTAGCTTCCGCTCCAGAGGAGAGAGTGGGATCACGTACTTTGCTGTTTTGCTTGATTTTTCTTCTGGTACGCCGTGAGCAACATATCGTATGGCAGCGATCGACCCGGGACCGCGCGCTTGGCTCCCATTGAATGACTTTTACAGGTTAAGGATCTTGCACAAGGCTGTCCATCCTTCATGACCCCGCATTGCCGCTCAACATCCACTGGGCCTTGTGATTTGTTAGCCATAAAATTATGTAGGTAATGGGGATTGAATGCGCCTAGTAAAGAGAGACCGTCTTGACACGAAGGCGGAGATAAGAAGAATATGAAGTCCACCTGCAAATAAACTGCATAACGTACCCTTGGGTTTGGCGGCCTTCAATTTAGGTTCCTCTTTTTTCTTTTTCTGTTTCGGTCCCTTCTCAGCATCTCCATCTGCTTTGCGCTTTTTGCCTTTCGCCTCGTTATCTACCTTTTTCCCGGCGCTCTTCTTTGCAGTCTTCAACCCCTCTGGTCCTTTCTTCTCTGGCGACACATCATCATCGTCGTCGTCGTCATCCATTCTCGTATCCCCGTCATCGTCCTTCTTATCATCTCCAAGACCTCTCTTCTCCCTCTCCCGCGCTTCTTTTTGTTCTTTCTTCCTCTGCGCCTTTTCTTTCTTTGCCTTCAAGCATGCCACCAGGTGTGCCTTTGCCGCTGTCTTCAATATGCTCTTCTTGCAATGCTTGCATTGTTGTAAATCCGGGCTATCTTCGAGTGGCCGACCTGTGGCGAAAGTCTCTCTCGCACTATCGTCCAAGGGATTCACAACTGGACCTGGAGACGCGGGAACGGAGTTCGTAGAGGGTGTGTCGGTGCCGCGCTTTTTCTCATCTGTTCACGTCAGCGCATAGCTTGTGTAGTAGAACTCTGCAGTTCTTACCATCAATAACACTGCCATCCCGCCAGTTGCCAGGCAGCTTGTGTTTTGGAGCGGGTTTCTTCAATTTGATTGTGCCGTTTTTGTCCTTCCCCTCCTTCTTTGGCGCGACTTTGATGGTGTCCTCGTCATTGCCTGGATGCGTGTCAGTGTCAACGTAGGCCTTGCGACAATGCAAGGGGAAGATAATACCTTTCTGGCCGCCTCCCAGCCCGGCACTAGCCATAACGCGATTATCTGGAGCAAGTGTGCCTAGATCCAAGATGTGTCGTTGACCTCTGCTATCGCATCACCCAGTTCGGATCAAAACTCCCGTTCGGGCCCAAGGTTCACAGCCGCCCCAGCTGACAAAGACATCACGTGGCCATTCCCTGCGCGGCTTAATTGCGGCCTGTATTCTCGCTACCCCTTTCCGCTGAGGCATACGGGTGAGACAACCAAAACATCGTCCGAACTATGAAGCATACTGAGCCATGAATATGTTTTGGAGCTCATGAAGTTCAAATCATTTGTCAGACCGCAGACTATATATTGGCTATGAATTTACCACTCCACATGCCCGAACACCTGTTCAACCGCCTCCTTGTATGGAGAATCTTCAGGACACCAAATAAAACGCTCGATTTGCGGAAATTCTTTATAAGAAGCTGTTTGATTGACATAACGGTAGCAGGAGTTGTACTTCTTTGCCCATTCTTCGAGCTTCTCCCAGTTTCTGCACAATCGAACTTGACCCATTCCCGAAACTGGAATGTCATCGGCTGTGGAATATCGAGGCGTATCGTCAGCGTTGCAGATGGCTTCTTGTCGGAGCTGGTCAACGCAATGAATCACATGTTCCCAACGACGCGATTGCAGTTTTCCTTGCCAAAACTCCATCAAGGAGAGGTAGACTGCTCTCTGCGTGAAGTAGACGTGGTCAGCCAACATTGTCAAACCTTAATTATCTTGTTTGCAAAAGCACTCACTACGCAACGCAAAGTGTGATGCCCGTTGAGCAGATACACACTTTTGCTCTTATCCCAAACTAGCTTTTGAGATGGGGGAAGATTTTTGTCGGATACAAATGGTTCCGGGACAGCTATCATACCTGCGTCGATGCTGATTGCTTCCCACATCTCGTTCCGTAGAGTCTCGTTCTTATCGACATATGGACTATGAGTTCCCAGTGGGAATGGAAAATCTCGTGTTAAACCCGCTCAGGATGTGTCAGAATTCATCTCGTAGGCTGAAGTGGAAAACATACCGTGTGGGCTGATATCTCGATTGTAATCATTTGGAATAAAATCGGAAGAAGCGATATAGTAAGTGATCGTGTTGGACAAGAAAAACAAGGCGATTATTCCGTAAAACGTCCCTTTTGTAGGGCCGGAAGAGTATATGGATCTTTCTCCAGCGTCATCATCGTCGCTTTCGACCTTGTTATACTTGAGATTTGAGAACATAATCGTCAACACCACTGATGGGACGTTTAGATTAGCGATGGGCTTCGAGGTTGAGGAATAGTGTACTTGAGACTTTGTGAGTGCGAGGTGAAAACTACCTGACTTTTTCAATATGGAACCCGACTGCGGATGTTGGAACAACGGTGTGTACATCTGCCTTGTCGGCAAAGGTACCGACGCATCTCATGTATACGAGATGCACGAATGTGATACCAATGCTCTGCATATCATAAGAAAGGGCGTTGGTATTAATTCACAACAAAATGCCTCAAAAGATCGTCGGTCAATAGCGCGGGCGTCACTCGGTTGGTATCGACGATGGCACAGCCCTAATGGGCGCCAGATTTCTATACTCGGTGTGTGGATTGCATATCCGCATGTTGGTGGCAAACGAGCAGCTTTCCCCTTATCTTTGAATCCGAAGACAGTGGAATAATGTTTACCCGTTGATGATTTTTGACGTGTCTTGCAGGAAATCAAAATTACTTTGCCGAATGGTTGTAAAGTTCACTGGTTTCACAAGGCTATGACAACAAATTGGAGTTCAGCAAGTTCAAGTTCTATGACAAGCAGTTCACCAGGTTGAGTAATTTAAAAACGGATAAAAGTCTGATCTAGTTCATGTAAAATAATCTCTGGTGTTTGATTGCTGTTACTTTCTAAACGGGAATGAATGTTTTGGAAACTTCAATGTACCAACGCCAATATCCGGCAGTGACTGTTAACACATCGCAAAGGCGAGTTCCTATCGGCGAAGAGCAATAATTGGGTTCTCGTATGAGTTTTTCCTGAGGAAGGAGCAGCGACCCTGAAGTCGTTAGAAATGTCCTAAATAATAGTTTTCACTAACTTTAAACCATACTGTTATCTGTAAATAGAGCAGCTTGAGCAGCCTTCAAATGCAGCGCCCATGTGAGGGACCTTAATGTTGTGCTCTCTGGCGTAATCGAGCAGCTTGTCACGTCCTTCATGAAGTTAGGGATTGAATTATACTGTTCGATTTGGAGAGTTGACTAACTCTCTGAAATAAAATTTGGGGAAACCAGAGCACTATGTGCCAGGTTGACAAGAAGAAGAACCCGTGCGAAAAAACGGAAGTTGAACCTCATTTTGATGAAATGTAACGATGAAATTTTGAGTTGTATCTTTGCTGAGCAATTGAATAAGGAGAGAGGTCTCCTTTTCTACAGCTAGAAATCCCCTTCATGTTCTTTCTGGGTCTTTTGCTAACGGCAAAGTCTTTCTTCCAAAGCTGCGTTGTGGGACACACGCTAGCACTTTCCAACTTGCCGTACATGATGGTCCAATTAAATATCGGGTTTCATGGCGGAATGAAGATTAGATGTTGGTTTAATCAATGATCTTGTATGTATATGCAACAGTTCTTCAGTTCACCTGCACTGAATAGTGCATACGGGACTATTGATGCCGAGAGGCTAAAAATTTACCAATCCTGGCTTCGGTTACGATCATGGTGCTTATCGCCAAGACCGTTGATGGCTAACGCATTGACCTTGTCTATTATGACCATTGGATGTTCAGTGTCGGAGCCGAATGAATGCTTCTGCTATTGAAAACCATGTTGTTGTTGGTGAGCTGCAAGGTTATCGGAGCTAAGAATGTGACAAGCCAGGTGAACGCACATGCTTCTAGGTGCTTTTATTGCCAACACTATGCATCTTTGCCGTAATTCTAGCTCCTGAGCTTTGAAATCTGAAATGCACAAGACACAGGGCTTCAATTGTCGCATCGCATTACGCCAAAGCGCAAAACAGTTTCTTCGAAATCACTAGAACGCGCGGGGCCGTGCTCTGAGTGGCTATGAACTTTTCAATTATCCAATAAGTGTCTTTCTTGTTCTCTATTTCTGCTCCATGTCTATACCCTCACATTAGAAGTATTCTTTTTGAAGTAAGAACTTTCACATACACTCGCCCGCGCCTTCTTCCTATCATGGCAGAAACAAGGAACTTACTTTCGTCTTCGGATGATATGTTCGAAGAAATTACAGACTCGAATCCGGTAAAAAAAAGAACAAAATTTGAAGTTTGGAACCATAAGCAGTCATATTTGTATGGGGATCTTCATAGTCTCTCTTCTCTTTAATGTGATTCAAGCTCGTATCTTATATCAAGCGCAAAGAGCTGCAAGTCTCTGCACTCTTCCTCTAGGTTGACTGCCCTGAGCTTCTCTAAGGATAAAAGCTAAAACCTGATACCTAGCTAGACTCAAACCAAACGTTCATGTTAATTTCGGAGACAAAACACCGTATGGAGATGTTTCGGATTTAGACGCGTTAGATACTTTGTGGCTATCTATAGATACAAATCCTGGAATTGTCGCGCTTTCTAATAGCAAGCACTTGGGAACGACAGACCCTTTCCCGTGGGATGATACCAAAGGTCTATACGTCATGAATAGCTATCACAGTCTTCACTGCCTGGTAAAATCTTTCGTAAATTTAAGTATATTAGTCTAACAAGAATAGCAAGGAATATACGGGTTCGCGCGAAATTGCCAATCTGGCGCCAATCAAACACAGACCTTGGAGCATGTTGTTCATTGTTTGGATGTTTTGAGGTCAGAAGTCATGTGCACAGCAGATGATACGCCACTATCATTCAGATTCCAAGAGATCGATCAAACTGAACGAGCACCAAAAAGAAAATGCCGGGACTGGAGCAAGCTTGAAAAGTACGTAACCGAAAACTCAGCGGGTTTCCGTCGCTACGCCCCGAACGATCCTAGGTACGACACTCTCGAAGAATTCATGTTCTGTCCGCCCCAGTCTCAATACCGTTCTCTAGTGGAAAATCTTCGTGTCAAGAACCGTGACTAAAAGGTTAAATCGAAAATTCGGGAAAGATCTGGTGATGGTATATAGTCTGAATAATATTGCAATCAGTTCAATGCTACTTCGCTTTTGCAACGACAAGAACAGTCCTGGGCGAGGATGAAACTTCAATATATGTTTTGGATATTTAAGCCTCGAATCTAGCTGATCTTCTCCTGGTGACTACTTTCATTAGTAAATAAGTTGACAAAAAGACGCGTGGCGTTTGCCGACTTGGGCAACTTTTGGATATCTTGGAAAACTTCGTTTGGTTTGTCACTACACTTGCTTCACTACAAATTCAATGATTCCTACACCTTCTTCCATCCACGCTCCATCCTTGGAATCCCACGACATCTCTTGGAACGATCGCATCCAACACTGAACTTCCCATTTCGTGCCTGTTTCGTTGCCCACCTGAGCCCAGAACTTCTCGAAAGATGCTGGATTGTGACGCCACATCGGAACAGAAACAGATTTTAGCGTGACTTCCTGCGCATTTGGATTTCCAATTTGGTTACCTACAATCAACGAGCCGGGTTTCGTAAATGTAGTCAGCACTTTGGCTACTTTCACCTGAGCATCCCAGTCCCATTGATGAAGAACCTGAGTAACGGATAGAATGTCGATCTTGCCTTTCAACAGCATTAGAGCTGGTGCATCCGACAGAATGTCTGCTTCAATGAATGTGGCACGGAAACGATCGTGGTCGCGAAACATTTCGTAACCCACATCCCAATGGCTCACAATGTCGACTCCGTAGAGGTTATTCGAGGGTGCGCCATCATACGCGAGGCGGCGAAGGTCGTGGCCAACAAAACAGCCAATGTCCACAAAAGTTTCCCCGGCATTGACACGCCTCAGAATCTCGGGATAAATGGGTAACTTGCACAGTTGAGGAACAAGCCAGGCGCCAACACCAGTGCATGGGTAGGCACGAATTTGCCAAGCTTGGTCGCGCTGAATGCTGTTAGCACTGAAATAGCAAGCAAGTGTGAGAAGATACGTACGATCTTGTGAACATGCTCAGACTGTTGTTCAAGTGGAATGTGGCTATACTTTTCCAAGAGTTCTCGGGTCTAGGCGCAACCTTGGTTAGCTTCCCTTCTGGCTTATCGGAACTTTGAAATCACACTTCTGGAACCAACTTCTTCTCAATATTTGGGATATAAAACGGGTAACGAGCGCGGTCCACAGCGGTCGTGTAGACAGGCTCAGAGTATTGAGGTTTGTCCTGGGCTGACATTCCGTATCAATTGAAGCAGCAGAAAAATGTATCCCAATGAGAAGCCAAAACATACGCAGTGGTTGATTCTAAAGAATAAATTTCTGGATAATTGTGTCGGATAGGCGAACTGACAAATTTGGAATAAACCAAGCATTTCGTCACTCGCCTGGGTAGAGATTCAAATCATAAGAGGAAGAGATCATCTTCCAGTAATGTTACACAAGCATCCGATTCTGTGTGCCTACTCGGTGACAAGGCCGGACCGTCCCGGATATAGTGAGCGCGTAGGAACCCCACCAATGACTTACATATGTCCCTTGTCAGATGTTGCGGAACAAGCTCAGAACCAACAACAAGACATGGGTACCCAATCGGCAATAAGACAGCATCAACTGATAGCCCTTCAGTCCAACCCTGTGCCTTTTTGACGGTCCAATGGCAGGGGAAGAGATAAGAATTATTTGTTCAAAATCAAAACTAGGATGTCCAACCCGAGCCACGTGACAGCGCGCCTTCGAATGACGGTTGTCTTCCAATTAGAATGTGTTCTCTGGAAACTTCGATAATGCACCTGGAAGTTTGAGGAATTTCAACGGGGAATTTTCGCCACCTGCAGTCAGCTCCATCAACCCTGCTAGATATGCATTGAACGCTTTATTTCCCGCAGAAGTAAAATTCCGCGTGTTGGTTTACCGTGACTGCAAAAGACTATGAAGCACTAGTGTGACGGTTACTGAAAAAAACATCCGACGCCTCTAGTTCAATCTTCAATACATCCAAGCTTCTGTTCTAGACAGCATTCATTGCCATTATTTCATTTTTGAACGTTTCTCGAGACTCCTCAACTTTCCTCGCAAGAGGCATTATGGCCATAACTCAAGAGGGCGTCTATGCAGCCTCCGCGTTTGCTGATATTCTTTTCAACATTGGCTTTTGGTTTGAGAATTGGTGCTCGAAGGCTGAAGAAAGTCCCTCTCAAGAGTGATGACTATCTCTCAGGTCTTGCCACGGTTTGTGTCTCATCAGAGCCCTTCGTAACTCGGGTTGCTCTAATTATCTCTCTCCTTTAGTTATTCACATGGGCAATGGCAATTGTTCTGATCATTGGTGAGTCTAATCTGTGATGCCAAATTTGCCCAGCAGCTACTGACAAGTTGATCTTCACAGGAGCCGCGAGGGGTACACTTGGAACACATACACTGCAGAATCCTAATACTGGTGCAGTTATAGTCACTTGGCATGAGATTGACACTTCCAAGGTAAAACAGAATATGCGCCGGTCACTGCAGTGGAAAAGATACAATTGCTAATATTGGCAGCTTGCTGGCATCTCGCAACTCCTTACAATTGTAGCCCTCGGTGTATTGAAAATGAGTGTCGTTATGCTCTATCGACGTATATTCATTGGTCAGCAATTTAGAATGATATCTCTCATCGTTGCGATTATGATTGTAGCCTGGACAGTATCCTTCCTATTTGCTACGATCTTCGAATGTGGGCGTGACCTTGGCTTGCTTTGGAAAAGTCTTTCAACGTTTAAAAAGAATTGTGGGAAGTACAAATACATTCAAATTGGACACGCTGGGTCGGACGTCATTACCGATCTAATAGTCCTCGCTCTTCCTTTGCCGACCATCTGGACGTTAAGGTTGAGTGAGACGCGAAGATTCGCCTTGTCGCTCATTTTCTTACTAGGTTTATTGTAGGACCAAAACTCCAGGCCATTTATTCTGCTTTATTAATTTATCTACAGGTCAACAGCAGCTGGAGCCGCTCGTCTTGCGATTGTTGGCAAAGACATATACGGTAAGTCATCCAATTCCTGTGTGTAGAGAGCTTTTTATTAAACATGACCAAGGAACAAGAACGGGATCTCGCGATGTCAGAGCAGTTGAAACTAACGCTATGGTATGGTCATATGTGGAGGTCGGTGTTGGAGTTGTGGCTGCCTGTCTGCCAACACTCCGGCCATGGCTACATCGGCGGACTCCAGAAAGTATCGTCAACAGCGTGCGTTCGAAGATATCTTTGCAGTCGCTCGGATCTCGCAGCAAACATGGAGCGCATGAATCTGTGACAGAAACCTCAAAATCAGATATCGAATTGCAAGAGTACGAGATGCTGACTCCGAAACGATCCAACCATGAATTAAATTCAACCGTCACCGCAGATCGAATTGAACGGGTGGATGATGGCAACAGTATTTTAAACATCCCCGGTAAGATCCACGTACAGCATGGCGTCACTGTTGAAGCAGAGACGATCTCACGCAGACCGTAGTAAGGGACGTTAGTGGGATGTGATGGCTAGGTCAGCATGGTGGGTGAGTGAGAGGGCGGGGCCGAGATCGAGCAGTATCTTCGGTCGTGTAATATTAATAGCTACAAAAAAAGTATTGTGCAGAGCAAGGAAGAAAGTGACCCTGAAAATCTGTGACAAAGCTTCACCCCCAACGAATCAAGTGGTAGATCTGCTATTTTACTAACAACCACCAGGACATTCAAGATGTTTTCTTTTCGTCTAACGATCACCTCGCAAATCCAGCATATCGTGGCTCGTCCAGAACCCGTTGTTTCACTGCAAAGAAATTGAGAGATAGTATTACAAGCCATACAAATTGAACCAAAAGTCATCTTCAACATCAATGCCTTTTCTTTGAAATCGTATGTCGTCTTGAGGCGGGATTAGATAATCCTAAATTTAACAAATGTGGCATTTCTGTTTTTAAGAGGATATTCCTAGATTGCAAATCTTAGAAAATGTGAGAAAAATACACACTAGACCTCTGATGTGAGTTCAACAGCTGATTTAATCAGGACTGCTATTGAATTTAGCGCTATGTACTGTGCCTTTTTGGGTCCCATTATTACACCCGTCAAGTTTGGTTGGTTGACAACACCGAGTTGACAAAATGGGTGTTGTATGATGACATAAACGAGTGATACACGAAGTAACTCGAGACTAGGTAAGATTGATATCTATATAAACTCGAAGGTCTAAAGAGAACTCCCATGACACGTTTTTTTCTACAATTTGGTATTCATGTCCAAACTCGTGAAACTTGATTGAAATTCAAAACAAGTCATGAACTCTTCTCCTGTGTTCGTGATTGTTCCAGGGGCATCTCAAACGCCTTCCCACTACGCACATATCATCCACCTTCTCCAAGCTCGCGGCCACGGAACATTGACCGCCCTCCTTCCTAGCGGTGGGGCAACGCGTTTAGTCAGTGCTGCAGAAGATGCCGAATTTGTACGATCACGCATGATTCTTCCTATTTTGGATATCGAAAAATACGATGTCATTTTGATCATGCACTCTTATGGAGGTTTACCAGGAAGTGCCGCTGCTCGAGGCCTGGGTAGTGCAGATCGAGCGACATCGGGACGAAAGACCGCTGTCCTTGGCCAAATCTTCATCGCTTCAATACTTCCACATGGCGGCAATGGGGAGGATGTGATAGCACTTCTGGGAGGTAAATGGCCATCATTCATTGATGTTCATGTAAGTACCCGATGTAGCAGGTCCCGAGCTGAGCCCCATTCTTGCAGCTCTCGAAGTGTATGCAGTTGGTGTCAACTGTGCTTTGATCCGAGGAACTAACAAGAGACAGGAAAGCGAACAACGCATCAAGTGTGACCAACCGAAGATACCACTATACGACGATGTTCCTCCACTCATTTCGAAGGGTACGGAGCTGTCATCAATCAGTCAAAGCATTCAATGCTTCACGAGTCCATGCCCGCTTACAAGTTGGCATGAAGAGGCATTTTTCGGCAGGTGCGCATACATACGCACACGAAATGATCAGGCAGTGCCGTACGAAGTGCAGAACGCAATGTTGGATAGCACAGTCACAATGCAGAACTGGGTCATTCGAGATATTGCTGCTGGAAATAGTCCCCAGCTTGCCTTACCAGAGAAATTAGTTGAAATTATCCTAGCCATTTCCCAACAGTTCGAAGTGTTGCCATTGCCGACGACAAGTCGTGAGGGGTTGGATTTATCGTTTTCTGTTGGAAAGTACCAATTGAGCAGTCTAGTACGTGCTCAAACTAGATGGCTCACTTCCAGAGTCAAGGGCCTGGTTCACCATCGTAGCGGTCGTAAATTACAATAGAGGATTGTTTCGTCAGAATCAAAAACAAGTTGTGGCGAAAATACGGAAGGATATACTATTTATCCATTACAATAAAGCATTGCATGTAATTAACAAATTGAACCGTCTGGAAATGGATTTACACCGTGTTACCATTGTTTATAGAAACAGAAGACGCTTTTTCGGAGTTTGCTAAGAGCCGAGATAGCGAATTGAGCTCTTGTTCCAGACTTTCCATTGTAATTGTGCCTCCAAAGTGCTGCAAGTTTCTTATGCTAGCAACTTGCTCTTCCTGAATTAAAGTTGCTGTCGCGTCCTCTACCGTCAAAGACTTGAATCCGTGATTATACCCATCTCGTACTGTAGACTCTACACAGACATTTGTGGCCACACCCGTTACGATAACTTGATTGATTTTCTTCTCCGCAAGAAGGTGACTTAAATTGGTCTGGAAAAAGGCAGAGTGGCGAGTTTTAGATACAACGGTATCGACGGGGCGAGGATGAAGGATGTCGAGAATTTGTGCGTCCCAAGAGCCACGAACAAAGCCCTCTGCTTCTTTGACTCCTGGTGGACCATCTAAGATTATACCAGCGTCGGAGAAGTTTCCGTCGAATTCCATCTTCGTGTAAAATGTTGGTATGCCAGGTGTACGACAGACACTTGTGATATGTTCAATTTTAGGAGCAATCATTGCCTGCCGCGATATCGGAAGACCGATCTTATTAAAACTGCCAGATGGGTGACAGAATCCATTCTGCATGTCGACAACAAGAAGAGCAGGGGAAGAATGAAGGCGTGACATGTTTTACTAAGATTTTGGCTATAAGTTCCGATAAGATGTATCGTTGAAATGTTTTGGTGAGCAAATAGTTCAAAACAGATGTATGCAGAGGTAAGATCTTACTTTGCTTACGGAACAAAAAGATCATACTTATCCAATGGCCAAAAGAACTAGTCTGAACTTCTGGTGACCACATTAACGATAATTGAGCCGGTAGAAAGCGGATCCGCTAAGCTTCAGGAACCTGCTTCCGTCGCCCTGAGTTAAAGCCCCCGCCCCTACGTTGTTACACTAATTCCCCACGCACCCTAAAGTCGTAAATAAATTTCAACACCGCAACTATTGTTTATACTTTATAAAAGGCACATCGTTGTCAATTAAGTCTTAGACTATAGAATAATAGAGTTCTAATAACTAAAAGTAGTGTTAAGAGGCGCCTTCTATTTCGTGTTATAACATTCGTAGAGACTTCGGGAAGGTTTGTTAGGTCATCATTCAGCCCAGACCGGCCTCCGGAGTAGCGCGGGTGATTGATATATACATATCTGCGTACTAGCACTTCCAGTTCAAAAGTTGGTACGAACTAGGGCAAATCTCAGTTAATAATAGGACTAACCACAGGAGGTTTCAGTTATATAGGATGGTTACCAGATAAGCAAGACTCAACAGAACCACGATATTCCCGCAGCCGGACTGAAATAAACACATAACGTCCGTTGAAGTGTGACCTCGTTATTAATGGAGCGGCTGAATTTTTGATGCAAGCCACCCGCTTGAATCGGGGGTCAAGATGTTTCTGCTCAAGAACGGCTTGAGCCGCAGAGGACGCTATTGGTGTTCCTGCTTCCGACCCCAGATCAGCGGGTCAAACATCGCCCCGTCTTTCATGAATTCCACCGTTTAGGGGTATCTGCAAGCCTCAATCAAATACACATTACAAGGAATGAATCACTTGGCAACGTCGCAGCCTTGTTACTTTCTAATCCGCACATGGATACTCTTGATTGATATGCTGATCTTAGGGGGGTTGAACTTCAAATAACTGCAGCTGTGTATTTTTATATGAAAATACGAGGGGCTGATGTTTGATCCTTCCCAATAAGACGTATTTAAGAGTTCTTGCGCCGGTCCAGTCCTCCCATCCTTTCAATCATAACCTCATCATTATTCACCATGTTTTACTCACCAATTCCAACAATCTTAATGCTTCTTGGAGCCGTAAGATTGACCAACGCACAGGCGAACGCCGCATTTGAAGCAAGCGGAGCTCAGTACATACTTTACAGCGGAAACATTTCAGCAAGCGTATCATACAGCTCCCAGTTCTCTAGCTCAAGTTGCGCATCCCTCACCACACCTTCCTACTCAAACGCGCATCTCTACATCGGTAAAAATCCACCATGGGACCCAAACCCATTCTTCTTCGAACTCTATCATTCCGCTTCCGACGGTCGTATTTTCACCAATGACCAAATCTTTAACTTGGATTTTAGCAGTTCGGCATATGAGTGCTTCAAAGATGGCAAACCTTGTGGCTTTATTGCTGTTGATTTCGACCTAAAGCTTCAACAATATCTCGATCTGGCTAAAGCGCAAGTCGCCAAAACGACATTTAATGGCGAAGCAGGATTTTCAGTTAATGGGGACCCTACTAGCTGGATAGCAAGCAACGCCACTGGAAATGGCGTCGATGTAGTATCATCTTGTCGAGCTGCAAGGGTCGACTGGGAATATTTCAAATGGTAACTTCCCTTTGTTCATTGGTATTGCTGGCAATAACTAACTCAGCCCAGGAACTCAACCCATGCGCCCTCCTACAATCTCACATTCACAAACACTACAGCATCTCTGACTCTCACAACCAAGATCACAAACTCTGAGATGTCCCTCACCTTTTCTGCACCCAGAAACACGACCTACAAAGCCCCCATTCAACTCGCACCAGACTCAGGATCCGAACCAAATTTTGAGTTTGTCAATGGTGACGACTTTGTTTTTTCGCAGAGGGGTCAGAGTTGGAGTGCTGCTAGCAGTTCTGGGGCCGCTGGAACAAGCCCGACCTCTAGGAGAGGAGGAAGTACGCCAACTGGAACTGGAAATATAGGACCCGCAGCGACTACTAGTAAATCGGCTGCCGTCTTGGGGGTCGAGGGGAAGGAAATAATGGAGGTGTGGATGGTTGTTGGCATTGTTGGTGGGGTTTTGGCTGTCGTCTAAATTGAGGAGGTTGACTTGGGGGTTTTCAATTTAAAAGTCGCGATTCTCACGATTGTATTCTAGATTTGTCGAATTTGAGAGAATTTATTATCTGTAAATTGTCATCTATTGATACCTGGTGTAAGTTTTTATGGCGCAATGTGTTTAACAGCAATCTTAGCCAATATGCTTTTGAAAGGGGGTCATTTACTATTACATGAAGTGGTACGCCACGCACCTGTGGGGCAAAACGATTGGAGCGAGGAATCCGCCTAGTTAAAGGTATGGAGCCTTCAACCAAAGATATAGAGTCTCTTTTTGAGAGGTATCTCCCAAGCTTATTGGGATAGCCATCGATATACTACTCGACCTACCAGTCCGACGGCGTCGTGAAAGTCACAGCACCTGATTAAGTATCAAACCGAAATTCGCATAGCAGGATGGCATAATAAGGCAGTAGAAAATGTATGGATTTCATTTTTTTCAGCTCGTTTTACTTTGGGAAGTGATAAAAGAACTTGGCTTTTATATTCCCTTACATAGATGGGGCGACTTAACGCTACAAGATGCTTGTTTCGCACATCTAAATCTTTACAGACCATACTAGTGCGAGATTATGCTTAACCAAGGACTGAAATGACTTCGAGCACCGGTAACTATAGGCTAGCTTTACCGTTTCCATATTTCTCAAATGTGTATATCTTCTTGGAATTCCAGGTTCTGTTCGGGCGAAGGGGCTCATCGCGAAATCTTTCGGTATAGTATGATACTACAGCTTTATTTCGAGAACAATCTTAATTAACCTTGAGACGTTTAACCAAAAGACTAGACACATGTCTACCATGGTTTCAGGCATTGGCTGGACTATACATATGTTACGGGAAGGAATTGAGTCAAATTCTGATCTAGAATCGTCACTAGAAATATTCTATAAATCTAATTGCTGTTGATAATGGACCGAGCGTAAATCTTTTGGAAGGCATTTTGGAATGGCCAAAATCACCCAGCGATCAAGATGATACCAATGTCCTATAGTGCTTCTATATATACGGAATCATAGGCAGGACTATATCTGTTGAATTTTTGAGTTAACGTTCGTCTTCAATAATATGGACCTCCCTTCCAGCATAAAATTGTGCTTTCATCTTCCTGAGAGCATGTTACGTCCACTCAGTGTAACCAATTTCACAAAATCCAGTGCTATATTGTTAAGTAATTATATTTTCATCTGATCTTTCACAATAGCTTTGAAGATGATATTGATAGCGATATTGATAGCTAATTCACAGCTAGGTACTATGCTGATAAATCGCTCTTCCTTCTTCCTAATCTTTATCGCGCCCGGCCAATAGATCCTGGGCACCGCCATAATTTGACTCACTTTACTACATGATTCTTCTTCATGCAATAATGATTCTGGCTTCTCAAGCGGTATGCCGGCTTATCTACATGGCTCGCGCCGGATATCACTTGCGTTCGTTGGAAGGATCAAAAGATATTTTCTCAGTTGAGTGCGATTCCATATGACAGTCGAGATCATACTTAGTTAAAGAATTGGTGCCAATCTGAAAGTAAAAGTAAGCGTACACGCACATATAAAAGTAATGGTTACCAGCTTTTATTAATGCTTCTTTAGAGCGGATTTATACAAATTCAATTCCTAAAGAAAAGAGGAGACTGGTATCATGATAACGCCAGTCTTTGTTTGTCCACAGAGTCCCGTACCCACCATGTCCTCGGTTAATTCACAAATTCAAGATCGAACCCTCTCTCTCCCTCGAATTATGTGTCTCCACGGCGGAGGAACAAATGCAAAAATCTTTCGGATGCAATGTCGGGCACTCATCGCCCAACTCAAGTCAGAGTTCCGATTCGTTTTCGCAGAGGCCCCATTTATATCAGAAGCCGGCCCCGATGTCATGTCAGTGTATAATCAAATGGGACCTTTCAAACGTTGGCTTCGTTGGAAACAAGAACATCCCGACATCGAGTCTGAACGTGTTTTGAGAGAGCTTGATGAGTGTCTAGAAAATACAAAGTTGCAGGATAATGAGCTCGGGGGTACGGGCGAGTGGGTAGCTTTGCTTGGCTTTAGTCAAGGGGCGAAGTTGTGCGCGAGCCTGCTCTATCGACAGCAAGTTCGAGCCCAAAAATATGGCAAGCACGTAGCTATTCAAGAATATCGATTTGGCATCTTGTTCGCAGGGCGTGGACCGTTATTATCCCTAGATCCTACTTTGACCTTGAGTCCTGCCCTGCCAGATGTGTCGCAAATAACGGACTACACACAAAATGTTCATAGCCAAGGCCATATTTTGCGTATACCAACAATTCATGTACACGGAACGTGTGACCCAGGCCTGGATTTTCATCGACAGCTATTTGAAAAGCTGTGCGCGAGGGAAAGTAGGAGGTTGATTGAGTGGAACGGAGAGCATCGAATGCCTTGGAAGTCTAACGATGTGTTGCTCGTCGCTGATGCCATTCGTGCGCTTGCAAAGCAGGAAAATATCGCTGCTTGATTTTTATGCTTGGGATACTCATTTTCAATACAGAAAGTAATTGAGCATAGACTCCTGTTCTTGCTGTTGGGATGCAGCCTCCCTTAATGTGTCAGATAGACAAGCAACTCGATGCATTTCTCTTCGATTTACTGCAACTGCTAATCTCATGACTTGGGAAGTTATATACGAAGTCGTTACTACAAAACCGTCTGTCTATCGTGAGCTTCAACCAAAACAAGTCATAAATTATCTATTCCACTGACATTGCGATTGCATGTTGAGATTCAAGGTGGTGAAACATCAACTGCAGGATCGATAATCTGCACGAAGACCTGGTGGAACTGCCAAGATTCTTGACTGAAGACCTGGAGGGCTCGAATTGAAAAGGTGTTACCACCGAGTTTCTATCCGAAAGAGAAACAGACTACCAGTACTCAAAGCACCTGGGAAAGAAGGAAGCGGGGAAGAATGAAACAGCTTTGATTTGACCCTAGTGGCCGAACCCCAGCTTCTTCTGAAAAACACACAATAACTTTATAACTGCACACATTCTTCAGTAGTCCATAAGTGCTGTAGGCTACTCTGGCCGATTAGTTGTAAATATTGCAACAAACAGAAAGTTGGACAGGACAAAACAAAACCGAACAGAACTACAGAACCCCTGAGCTATACTCTATTATATTGCTTTATATACTGGAGAGCTTAACAGATCATCCCAATCTGTTACGTCTAGACAGTCAGCTCTATTATCATTAGTCAAGTTAACTTCTGCATTCTGAGGAAAGAAGTGCATGTCTAAAAGATCATTAGCTTTCTGTAAAACATCCACAAACAAATGTTTGCGGGAGTCGATCAAGTCTAAACAATAGTCAATGATTTTGTCTCGGGCAACTCGCATCCTGTTCACTTGTCAGATAAATTTCATAACCGAGATTCCATAGGGCTTACTCCTCGTCCGAGAGGCTGTATGGCAGCAGCAAAAGAATCCCATAACCAAAGCGTTGAATGATCTGCGCCCATCTCTTGCCACTTTTTCTCCATGTTTGTATTTTTGTCATTCTTCTTTTCAGGTCGTCACTTGTGTCTGAGGGACTCGGTGAGGATGCTCCGCCGTGATTGTCAGGCCGAGAAAATACCAACTCTGCAAAGCGATGTTGCACAACAGACTTGTGCCCACCTTTCCGCAGCATCGATTTGAACTGCACCTTTTGATTGTCGCACCACGTCAGAAATACCGAGGGGTTGTTTTGGGCAAGTGTGTAAGCGTGATAGAAATGCGCAAAGGCGATTCTTTTCCGGATCCGGGACATTTGCTCCCCGAAAATACTACTCTCGATCACCATCCCGAGATCCACAACCAGCCGCATAAAATACGACATGTCGGTGAGTTGTGTCACACTAGAGAATTGGTACATATTCGGCAGCGTCTTCTGGTACTGCGAGGCTCTCAGTTGCGCTTCAAACTCGACAACTTGTGTCCTAGCTTCTTGATTGCCAATTTGTAGCAACTTTTTGGCCAATTTCGAATCGCCATCGACCAGACAGGCCTCGATGCCGGGAGAGTGACTCTCAACTGAGCTGCTTTCATGTCGAGCTACCTAAGAAAGAACGTGAGTAATTTGGTCGAAAATTGCTCCTTGAGCAAGTTTCTACGGCAGGGAAACACACTTACATTTGGCGTACATGTTACTGATATATCTACAGTTTCAGGGTCTGTAGCTGGTAAAACACGCCTTCTCTTGCGACGAACTCTGTCATCGACCGATATCGAAGTTGTACTGCGACTATGTGACTCAGCGGCACCCGTAGGAGCTGCCGAATCTCGTGTGATTACACTCTCCAGAGTAATGAGTTTCTTGATAAGCTTACGGTTTTGCTCTCTTATCTGGTCAAGCTGGGCTGGAGTGCGAATGGACATCTGGGCCACCACCTTGTCTACCGACCTATGAAGTCCGGTATATATGCTCTCGATATCATCAGAAGAATTGGCTGTCATGGGGGATGGTGGAGGGGATACGAGAGGAGCCAGGCCAAGCCACTCGTCGAAAAGGTCGTAGCTATTTTCATCATGATAGCTCCATAGGGAAAGCTCAAAAGCGTTGTTGGGGTTCTCGTCTGTCATATTTACGATAAAACCTGCTGCGTTACTCGTGTGGTCGTAATCTCCAACTATCCGTGCTCGAATGACGTGATGATTTCGATGATAGTTCTTCTGAGCATTGAGGTAGTCCAGCCGGTGACAGAATTATTTCAAGCTTTCCAAACAAATACGATGCATTATTACAAAGTCAGAACATCGTGTTTTTTTCCCGCTGAAGCTCTTGTTCCCGCAAACTCAACATAATCATAACCAACGGAATCTTAGAACTCGTAAATGGCTATCTAGCACCGGCTATCTATTATCAACAGCTTACTGCCGCATGTGTATGCAATCCTCAACAAATGCCTGCCGCTGCGTCAGCGTGGTAAGTGGCGCATCTTGGTATATATAAGCAAAACACCACCACACTTAAATATATTCCTATGTAAAAAAAGGTAATAGAGGAAATCTGGAGAGTTGGAGATCTTTTGAGAGTTTAACTATACTGACATTTGTTGTCAGCTCGAGCTTTATGTACTGAATAAGTGTCTGAGGGAGTGGAAATTGGGTGTGGTGAGGCACAGATCATGAACTAAAAAGCACCGTCTAATACTTTGACTTGAGGCCTGCCATGATGGTGTTATGTAGACCTAAGTACTGTGTAATCATCCGGGCGAGCGCACATGCGGGTGGTCCTCGAGCTGTTGAATTACAATTATGTGAACTGACATGTGTAATCACAGCCTGTGGTTGGTGTAGTGCCCTGAGATACGGTGATTTAGTGCGAAAGTACCACTTCCGGAGTCCCTTGAGTATTTAGTTGACAATCAAGCAGCGAATCAGGCAGCGTTTCCTCAAAAAAATGAATCAGCTCCTCGTGTGCGAACGCTCTTCCCCGGGGATTGCATGCAGTAGTGTGTTCGTATGTTGTGCAACCAGTGAGACCAATAACGTGATTTTTTTAATTATAAATGCTCATAAAGATTAATATAGTCATATCCCACGGCTTACTGAACGGAGCTGCCTCGGTACTACCTCAGGTTGTACCCCCACGAGTACACCCAGTCCTTTGGCCACTCGATACCCAAACCGGCTGCTCACACTTTACGGCTGGCTGAGTAGCTTCAGAATCTAATTTCTGTCGGACTTTTGCGCCTCTAAGAACACGTGAGGGATGATGCGCCCCAACTACAGCCTTAGAATGGACACCCAAGTTGTTGTGCCACATCGCGACATCAAAAGACCTCCAGAGGCCTTCTTTCTTACCCGCATCGGAGCTTTGCACTGATTGAAAATAATGGCCAGAAGTGTATCCCAGTGGTATTTTCATGATTCAGGGTCTCCGCGATATAGATGCACTTACAAGTCACTTGTACTTGAGTTTTAGAGAGGCATCTGAACTCTCCACTCGTGGACTTTGTCAATGTAAGTATTTTGCAATACTCTTAAGATGAGCGAGGTTTGACATAGATGTTAGCGACAAGTTTCTAGCGGTCTAGTCATGAAAATGTAAGTAGCCAGCGAGGAGAGAAATTCTATCGTAGCGCGAAGTAAAGCTCTACAGTCCTCCCTTAAAGGGATGTCAGTTATTGGACTTATATTTGCGTGCGCTTGACTGGTTATTGTCCCTGGTTTCTGGCAATCAAGTCAAATTGCTTATCTTCGCTAAGAAGCCTTTAACGAGTGATTATGTAGTAAGACGAAGATATGTTCTAAGCTCCACATATGAAGGCCAACTGACAAGTCAATAGCTGAGCCTACACGAGTGGATAGCTGAGCCTACACGAGTCGATAGCTGAGCCTGCCGAGTCGATAACTGAGTCTGCACGATCCCACTACTGACCTCTAGTCGGGGAGTGAAAGTGGCGAAATATGCAGCCCTACGTAAACCCACTTTAGCGGCCCATGCGCCCCGGGCCGCTCCGGACCAACAGAATGTCGTCAACGCTAACGGAGTTACTCCGCCGCCGTTAACGCTCGCTCATGGAAACAGATTGTCTCCGCCGCCGTACGGCGGAGCCCTTTGTTTATACTCGTACGGCGCGTATGAGCCAGATCAGCAACGTTATACGCGGCCATTTCAAAATTGTGACAAAATCTCTAAGCGTGATCCCCAATCATGATCCATATTTCAGAGTTGAAGCCAACTTCAACCTTCTCTGCTAGCTTTTTTTACAAACGCGTCTCCAAAATAATCCAACGCGATTCTATACATCTGGATCGACGTCATCTTCAGCAAGATGCTTCTTCGGTGGCGTGATGGAGTTTGGGATTCTCAAGTGTATTTGAAGAGTAGCTCTGCTCGCTAAATACAAGTGGATCTGATTCCTTCACTCTTGCCGCAGCGCCAAACCGCATGAGATGTTGGCTCTTCCCTTGTCTCTTGTGTCCGAGTCCTCATGGCTTTTACTTGACTTGATATCACATCAAATCCAGACATGGTACCTTCGGACCTCCCATGGCTCCCCTAGCTTTTTGAGGCAAATTTCCACCCCAAACGAGCAAAGTTGCCCGAGTAGTGAGTGCCCCTTACCGTGATGTGCTACGTGCACAATATCGCGATGAAAATGGTTAGTAAATGCAATCCGTCATCTGGTCCAAATGGCTATTCCGATGTAAGATGCGGTATCTAGTATCACCGAGTGATGATATATGGGTAAGACTTAACGCGACAATGCTTAAATTTCTATTTCTTAATCTTCATCGTTTCTCTCTTTGTTGTAAACCCGTAGAAATTCATTTTTAATCCATATAAAACATATTCGGCATGGGCTACATTTGGTTGTGCCTTGGGGCAGTCGTAGCCTATATGATATATGGTGCTATTTGGAGACTGTACTTTAGTCCCATAGCTAACTTTCCGGGGCCGCGATTGGCAGCTCTGTCAACTTTGTGAAGATTTCAGACGGCGTTCTAAGTACAGCGAAAGCTGACCTATTACAGGTACGAAGCATATTACAACGTTTGGCGTGGTGGAAAATACATTTACAAGATCAACGAATTGCACGAACAGTATGGCCCCGTCGTTCGAATCTCACCTTACGATTTACACGTCGGAGATCCAGTATGCTCAGTTCAATTGGATATGTTTTAGCTTACTGACAAGGTCCACAGGAATTCTATGAGATCCTTTATCCTAGTGCCACCACTGGAAGGAAGGCGAATAAGGAAGGAAGTTTGACGAAGTTTTTGGGGATAGACGACTCATTGTTCACTACAATGGATCACGATATCCACCGGATGCGACGTACGGCTCTGATGCCATTCTTTAGCACGGCACATGTGAGGAAGATGCAGCCCGATTTGCAAGAAAGAATCGATGTTCTTTTGAGAAGAATTTCTGCTTTCAAGGACACGGATGAACCGTTGAATGCTAATTGTATATTTGCAGCATTCAGCAACGGTAAGATAAAATGATCTTTCACGGAACGCGGAACCGAGCTGAAATTCTTTTCACAGATGTAACAAATATACTGGCTTTTGGAGAATGCCACCACAAACTTGGTGAGCCTCTCGAATTATAGCTTGTACGAAGTGGGGAGCATATCAGCTGACAATTTTAAACTGCAGAAACCCCAGATTTTGATTCAACAGAGCGTGATGCTTCTTTGTCGGGCGCAATGTCATTCCACATTATGAAGCGCATTCCCTGGTTAAACAGTGTGATGATGGCATTGCCAGAATGGTTTGTTCAGACCCTGAGCCCGACACTCGGCTCGTTCTCTCGTCAGAAGCGCAAGACCCGAGACCAAGTTGCACATGCTATCGCAACGAAAGATGAATGGTCAGGGAGAGATATTCAATCTGTCTTTCGAGGTCTTGCAGATTCTCCCAAGTTGCCACTTCACGAGAAAACGGTGGATAGGCTGGCGCAAGACGCCCAAATGTTACTCATGGCTGGTACGCTCACCATGGCTTCAACGTTAGAGCATATGATCTATTGGATCTCCGATAATCCCAATGTGTTGCGGAAACTCAAGCAAGAGTTGAAAAGCGTGATGCCATCGATCAACGACAGCGACAAAGTCACGCTTGCAACGTTGGAAAGTCTTCCCTACATGACAGCCGTCATCAAAGAAAGTGTTCGATTGATATATGGCAACTCGTGCCCTCACTTCCGGGTTTGCCCCGACCAACCCTTGTATCTTGAAGACAAGGCAAGAGGTAAGACTTGGACAATTCCGCCGGGTACGTCGGTGGGAATGACCAGCGTTCTGCTTCATCACAACGAAACGAACTTCCCCGATAGTTACAAATTTGATCCTGACCGTTGGCTGGGTGAAGCTGGAAAAAAGTTGGAGAAATACCAGGTGGGATTTGGCAAGGGAGGCCGCATCTGTCTAGGAATGCATCAGGCCTTTGGAATGTCACGTCTGATACTGTCGCAGTTTTGGAGGTTATATGCCAGCCCTGATGTGAGGATTGGCGATGAAGTTGGCGTGCTCAGTTTGTATAACACGAGCGCACATGATGTGGAAATGAACGGTGACTTTTTCATCGCGGCGTACAACAAGGCCCAGGGTGTCGAGTTCAAAATCGCAAGCATTTAAGAGTGCCAAAAACGAAGTGGTGGTGCGGTAATCTCTATTCACTCACTTACAAAGGAGGCGGGTTACATTTGAACACTATATCCTATCGCGAATAGAGGCGCGTTTGGATCTTCGAGATATTGTTTCTTTTTTTTTCTCGTTAGAAAATTCAGTAGCTTTATTAGACCTAGAATTACTGCATTCCGCGTAAACCAGAACCTATACCCAATCAAAGTGTTATTCCCCGAGTGCAGTATTTACAATCTTATTCTATCTCGACATGAGTCCCGTTGAGGTATAATGTAGCGCTCTGACAGTAGATTGTCAACTCTCTTGATTTTTCGGCGCTCCAATTTCTCGCTTTACCAAAACCGATATTTGAGCTTGATAGCCCCGATGTGTACGGAGTAGAGATCCAGAATTTATTGCCAGAACAGTGATTGACTCTTCATACCCTGTACGAAGTGTTCGGCGGAGCAATTCCTCTGCTAGACCAAGGCTCTAAACCATGCCTATGAGATTTCTGTATCCATATAATTAGTTGCGTCGAGCGATCTGTCCCTTGAGTTCCGCATATATCGTCACCGGATGATACCGTGAAAGTCTGTTCAACGCCCTCCAACCTTCAACACTTCTTTCAAGCTCATTTAACATCTGCGTAGCTCTGACAGAACTTGCTTTTTCGATTTTTACATAAAAACCGCTAGCAGGTTTCCACCACTTCCAACTTCTATTCTAGTTTTGCGAACCTCGTCACTCAATCGATTTGCTACCGGTAGTTTCTGAATACCACCAATGGCATCAGAAGGCCTTCCCTCTCTCCTGGTTTTCGGACCACAGACAGAATTTCCATCGGAACAGGTTCTCCACGATCTCCGCCAAGAGCTTCTCAGCAGTCCCCGGCTTTCGGTTCTTTTGAAAGCGATCGATGACTTGCCCCAGTTCTGGCAAAGCTTAGTTGATTTTGATCCGAGTCTGCGTCAGATTCCCGGGAATGAGCATCTTGGTCAACTGAAGCAGTGGGTCAAAGTCGGCGGTCAATTTCCCCACCACGAGAGCAATGCACCTAATCATTACGCTCTTGCCGTCACCGTCTTACTACAGATAACCCAGTACAGTCGGTACCTTGACAAGCTCGGTAAAGACTCGCATCGCAAAGTTCTTGAAGGCGTTAAGGATGGGGGAATTCAGGGCTTCTGCATTGGATTTCTTAGCGCAGTTGCTGTGGCAACCTCGGAAAGCGAAGCTGACCTCGGTTCTTCTGCCGCTGTCGCACTTCGCCTTGCTGTGAGTATCGGGGCCTACGTCGACCAAGATGGCGCATATGCTGCGGTGGCAACAGATTATCTTGCCGTTGCTGTTCGATGGAAGGAAGGAAATGAAGAAGAAAAAGCCAGTACAGCCGGGATTGCTCATTTACTTCCTCAGGCATACATCTCTAGCATCAACGACGCGACAAGTGTAACCTTTACCATCAGGGCCGCCGATCTCGATACCCTCACGAAGATAGCTCGTGAGAAACACCTACTTATCAAAGTTGTCTCTGTCCATGGCCGTTTCCACACCTCCAGTCATTTTGACGCAGTACACAAGATTGCGAGGCTTGCTTCGCTGTCTCACGGACTCGAGTTTCCAGATGCAAAGAAATTGCAAGTCCCCGTCCGCAACACTGCGGATGGTGTTATGATCTCCCAGGGGTCGCTGACTAGACTTGCGCTGGAGAACTCAATGATCAATGTTGCAAACTGGTACGAGACAGTAAAGGCATCGGTCGAACAGCTACCCAAATCTCTCCAGACGATCGCATATGCTGGATTCGGAAATGCTATTCCAGCTAGTCTATTAAGAACTTCGAGCCTACAAATATTTGTTCTTGGAAATATCGATGAAGCAAGTAATCAAGTAAACGGTATCAACGGTATCAATGGCGTTCACAGGTCCGTCGACCCCAACGACCTGTCTCAATTTCCTTCTCATTCCATTGCTATCGTCGGTATGGCCGGAAGGTTTCCAGGTGCCGACTCGGTTGATGAGCTTTGGGACTTGATCATGGAGGGCAAAACAATGGTTGAGCCTGCGCCTGTCGAGACCTTTGGACTGCCTAAACTCAGGGAAGATACGGGCACAAAGTGGTGGGGGAACTTTCTTAATGATCGAGATGCCTTCGATCATAAGTTTTTCAAAAAGGCGTCCCGAGAAGCTCTTGCTTGGGATCCTCAACAGCGCATTTTGCTAGAAGTTGTATGTTCCGTTTTTCTTTGGAAAGCATTTTATTTTAGGCGGCTCGAGAGTTGATCCAAGAGCTTCTTGAACCAAAATTAAACTCCAGAACCCCTTCTCACCTAACAATATTCTGGTACTAATTTATTGCACAGGTCTATCAGGCGTTAGAGTCTGCGGGTTATTTCGGTGCTTCATCCCTCTCAGAAGAACCACTCGATTATGGTTGCTACATTGGTGCTGTCATGAATAACTATTACGACAATGTCTCGTGTGCTCCAGCTAGTAAGCTTCATTAGCGGCCTTTGCCGTAGCTTGGCTAATGCTTGTTCTAGCTGCGTACGCTACGGTTGGAACCTCCCGCTGTTATATCAGTGGTGCGATGAGTCATTACTTTGGGTGGACAGGTCCATCTTTGAGCATTGATACCGCTTGTTCATCATCACTTGTTGCTATCAACACGGCTTGTCGAGCAATATGGTCTGGAGAATGCTCTCGAGCGGTCGCTGGTGGCACCAACGTAATCACAAGTCCTTTCGATTATCAGAATCTAGCTGCCGCTGGCTTCCTCAGCCCATCAGGACAATGTAAGCCTTTTGATGTAGATGCTGATGGTTACTGTCGTGGCGAGGGCGTAGCGGTGGTTGTTCTCAAGCAGCTCTCAGATGCTGTTAGAGATAACGACAATATTCTTGGCGTCATTACTGGATCTGCTGCAAACCAGAATCGCAACTTCAACCATATTACACAGCCACATTCGGGCTCCCAAGTCGAACTTTATCAAAAGGTAATGAAATTGAGCAGTGTAACGCCAGAATCCGTATCATACGTTGAAGCTCATGGAACTGGAAGTAAGTCTTTTCTTTTTTTCCGTCCACCAATTTGTTTGAAATTCAAGCGACCGTTTGAAAGAGTGTCCCACAAGATCTCAAGCTGTCAGACCTTCCATTTCTTACCATGAGACGTTCATATGCATTTTCACATCGAAAACTGACGATACATGTAGCTGGTGTTGGTGATCCCATCGAGGTCCGTAGTATCCGGGATGCTTTTGGAGGTCCTGGACGAGATTCTCTTCTCCGCTTCGGCTCTATCAAGGGTAACATCGGGCACACAGAAGCAACTGCAGGAGTTGCCGGTCTCATCAAGGTTCTGCTTATGATGAGACATAAGAAGATCACGGCACAGGCGAGTCACACATCAGTAAACCCTAAGATCCCCGCCTTTCATCAATCGAAGATGGAAATCTCACGAGAAATCATACCGTGGGAGGCTCCATATCTTCTGGCGTGTGTTAATAGCTACGGGGCAGCAGGAAGCAATTCAGCGGTAATGATTCGCCAGAAGCCATCGAAACCCACAACATCTGCGCCAGTACCTTTACCCAGTTATCCCCTTTTCATCTCAGCCGGGTCAGCCAACAGTATCTCCCAATACAGCAAAAAGTTGCTAGACTGGTTAACAGCCGCTAAAGCCGAAGCAGGCTCGGATATCCTTGCTTCGCTAGTTTTTAATCTTGCTGATAGGGCCAACCATGCGCTGCCTCATGTGTTCACCACAACTGTAAGCAGTGTTAGCGATCTGGAGACCAAACTTGAAGCAGCGGCAGTTGGTTCAGGGATCATAAACCCCCCTCAAGGAAAGCCTGTAGTGCTCGTGTTCGGTGGCCAAGAAAGCAACTTCATTGGCCTTTCCAAAACCTTTTACCAATCTTCAAAGCTCTTTCGCCAGCATCTTGATTCTGTTGACGATCTCTTGACCTCGGTCGGGAATGAGAGTTTCTACCCTTTCATATTCGATTCGGAGCCGTCCCAAAACCTGATCACTTTGCATTCGGCCCTGTTCGCTATCCAATATGCGTCCGCTAAGTCTTGGATGGATAGTGGTCTTAAGGTCAGTGCAGTTGTGGGTCACAGTTTTGGTCAACTCACAGCTTTGGCCATCTCCGGTGCACTTTCACTATCAGACGCGTTGAGACTGGTTTCCGGGAGAGCATCACTGATGCAAAAGCACTGGGGCCCTGAGCCAGGGTCTATGCTGTTCCTGCAGGCTGACCGCGCCACCGTTGAGGAAATCCTTCGTTCTTTGAGGCTAGGTGGCGAAGGCTTGTATGCCGAGATCGCATGTTACAACGGTCCCGAGAGCCATGTTGTTGTAGGGTCTAGTGAGGCAGTCAAATACTTACAGCAGCATGTCGCAAATACACCACATCTTCAGAGCTCAGTCCGCACCAAGAAACTCAATGTCACCAATGGATTTCACTCCAGATACACTGAGCCACTGCTGCCACATCTCGCCTCTCTAGCTGAACAGTTAGAGTGGAGACAGCCAGATATTCACCTCGAAACCACGGACGAGTTCGAAAGCAAAATCACGCCTGACTTCCAGCTTGCTGCAGAGCATACGAGACGGCCGGTATTTTTCCAACGAGCGGTAGAAAGGCTAACCAAGAATTTCTCGGATTGCACGTGGATCGAGGCAGGTCGTGGATCTTCCGTCATGCAGCTCGTTAAACTCTCCGTACCAAAGTCACAGGAGCACGCATTTCATGTTCCTCAACTCACTTCAGCTCATGCGCAAGACTCACTTACCGCCGTCACGATTGATCTCTGGAAAAGCGGGCATACCACTCAATACTGGCCATTCCATAGAAGTGAGAAACCAGACTATAGATATCTCAGCCTGCCCCCTATACAATTTGAGAAGCTTCGGCACTGGCTTCCGTTCACAGGACGAGATCTCATCCAAGACGCTGAAACCGTCCCAGCGCAAGATGAAGACGAAATGCATGAACTTCTTACGTTCCTCAATTTCACGGATGCGACAAACAAAGAAGCGGTTTTCAGGATTGATCCCAAAGCAGATCGTTTTCAGAAAATGTTGGGAGGGCACGTCATGGCTGGACAGTCACTAGCCCCAGCATCTTTGTACTTCGAGATCGTAGCTCGCGCGGCTCTCCTGCTAGAGAGAGATACCCAGGCAGTGAAATTTGTGCCAACAGTCCACGATCTGCTTATGAGATCTCCCATTGGCCAAAGTACCACAAAGAAGATTTCACTCGTGTTAAAGAAGCTGGATGACATTCGTCCCTCGTGGTCGTTCTCCATCACCACACAGGACACGGAGATTGAGAAGGCAGAGCCCTTTGAGCACTCTACCGGCAGGGTGTATCTGAAGAGACGTAATGATACGCAGCCTAAGCAACAATTCGAACGCTTCGAGAGCTTAATAGGTCATCGCCGACTTGAAGAGGTGCTGAATAACCCAGATGCCGAAAAGATGCAGGGCAAACACGTCTATCGCGCCTTCAATACCGTCGTTTACTATGGCGAAGCTTTCCAAGGTATTAAGCAAGTATCTTGCGTCGGATTCGAAGCCGCTGGAAAGGTCAGGGTCACACCGACGCTGGCTGATCCAGCTGACCAACGCCTGACCGATACCCCCATGACCGACAGCTTTATGCAGTTTGCAGGATTTCTAGTTAACTACTTCAACAATCCGAGCATGGAAGATGTTTTCGTTTGCATGAAAATCGAGCATATCGAAATTGGTGGGGCTTTTGATCCAGATGCTGGAGAATGGCTTGTGTACTCAACCATGAACGAGGGTGGTGAAACGGATGCCGCGGCAGATGCATATATCTTCGATGCCAGGACCAAGAAGATGGTTATGGCTGCATTCGGCTTTCGGTTTTCGAAAATGACTCAGAGTTCCTTGGCCCGGGTGCTGAAAAGCGTCAACAAGTCTGCAAATACTACATCACCACTGAAGGACGAGACCCCGGTTGATGCTTCTGGTAATTTCTCTCAACAAGCGGCTATCACCCCGGTGAAGAGATCTGTTGGAAAACGCCAGGAAGTGTATCAAATCTTGTCTGATGTCACTGACATTTCAATCGAAAATCTCAGAGGCGATTCTACACTGGACGAGCTTCAAATAGATTCACTGATGGCAACAGAAGTGCTCAACGACATCCGGTCAATCTTGGGCCTGACTATTGATTTGTCGAGCTTCTTGTTCTTTGAAAATATTGAAGCCATCGTCGCCCACATTGATGAAAAGTTGGGCATCTCTGGAACTGGAGGTAGTGATTCGGGGTACGAGGATGAGGATGTGAGTAAACACAGCCCCACACCCACAACAGCTATATCAGACTCGGGGAATGTAGAACAGCCGAAGTCGATTGTGATAGTGGAGGAGCCAAAGTCTACAAGTCGACCTACTATCACTTCAGCACATCGAGCCTTCAACGAGACGCGGTTCAACTATGACCAACATGCCAAAACCACACAAGCCGTTGGCTTCTGGGAAAAGGAATACCCGAACCAACGACGACTAGTCTTAGCTTACGTCCTGGAAGCATTTGCTGAACTAGGATGTGACTTGAAAAGCCTTCAAAGTGGCGATGATGTTCCTCAGATCACAGCCCTTGGTAAACATGCGCTTCTTGTCCGTCAACTCTACCGAGTGCTGGAGGACGGAAAACTCATTATTTCATCCGGAAAGAATCGATTCACTCGAACAGAAGTCATTGTGGATTCTACACCAGCGGAGTCCATCTACCTGAAAATGATAGATCAGCATCCTCAGCATGCGACTGTGAATAAGCTGGTGCGAGCAATTGGGTCCGAGCTGGCTACGTGCTTACGTGGTGAGAAGGAGGGTGTGCAGATTCTCTTTGGCAATCGAGCCACCAAAAAGACATTAGAGGAATTCTACAGCGAGTGGCCGCTGTTCAAGGCACCCACTCTTGTTCTTTCTGACTTTTTATCCACGGCTTTCAAGAAAGCAACCGGTGGAGGCAAGTTTCGCATCCTCGAAATCGGAGCCGGTACGGGGGGCACGACTCGACTGCTTGTCAATCACCTCCAGCGTCATGGCATCGAGTTCGAGTATGTTTTTACGGATCTGGGCGTTTCGCTCGTCAACGCTGCCGCCAAGACATTCAAAGGCATAGAAGAAATGTCGTTCGACGTCCTAGATATCGAGCAACCTATAAAGCCTGAATACGAGGGTGCCTTCCATTGCGTTCTTGCGACCAATTGCATCCACGCAACAAGGAATCTTGAGGTGTCGCTGAAGCACATGCGACAGATGCTGCGGGACGATGGCGCCCTCGCATTAATTGAGATTACCAGGAACGTTTTCTTTTTCGACATTATCGTCGGGCTGCTGGAAGGCTGGTGGTTGTTTGCGGATGGCCGTGAACATGCATTGATTGATGAGAAGCAATGGGAGCGAAAAATGAAGACCGCAGGCTTTGGTGCGGTGGCATGGAGTGAAGGTGCTGCACCTGAGTCCCAGACAGTGCGTGTTATAGCCGCATTCCCAAAAAGCGACGAGAGCGTCACAGCCTTACCGGCAACCGAGAAGTCAGTGAAAGCCGCGATGGAGACGGTCACTTATAAGAAGATTGGGAATCTGGATATCCTCGCTGACATCTACTACCCGACTGAAGGGGAGGCACTGGCAGGCAAGAAGTTGCCGGTAGGTACGTGACGAGATATCTCCTCCTTTCTAGACCTCGTCAATTTCGTATGTCCAATGAATTACACTATATTGGTACACATGAACTGACAATTGGCAGCTTTGATGATTCATGGAGGTAGTCAAATGTTGTTTAGCAGAAAAGACATAAGGCCTGCTCAGACGCGTCTCCTGCTCGCGAAAGGCTTCTTACCAGTCAGCGTAGATTATCGGCTCTGTCCTGAAGTCAGTCTAGCAGAAGGGCCCATGGTAGATGTGTGCGATGCTCTCGAATGGGCTCGTTACAAACTTCCTGAGCTGCAACTTCAGCGACATGGGCTTCATGTCGATGGCGAGAAAGTTGTAGTAGTTGGCTGGTCTTCAGGCGGCCAACTCGCCATGTCGTTAGCTTGGACTGCACCATTACGTGGATTACCTCCCCCAGAGGCAGCTCTAATCTTCTACGCGCCAACCGACTATGAAGATGAATGGTGGCAGTATCCGATCCAGCCAAATGGGGCTCCATACACAGGCCAACAGTATGATCTTCTAGAGGGAGTCCGGGATGAGCCTATCGCGAGCTACGACATGGTGGGAGCGTGGGAAGAGCCTATCGCAGATCCACGAAGCCAAAAGGACCCCCGTTGTCGTATTGTACTGCACATCAACTGGAAAGCTCAGACTCTACCAGTCATCATGTATGGCCTGCCCAGCACCAAGAAGGCTGACCCGAATGTCGATTATAACATGCTCCCGCAACCCCCGCTCGACATTATCAGGCAACATAGTCCACGGGCTCATATTCGTCAAGGCACTTATAATGTGCCAACCTTCTTTATTCATGGCACGGCCGACGATCTGATTCCATGGCAGCAGACGCAGGGTACATATCAGACAATGCGTGAGAAGGGCATCGATACGGATTTGGTGCTTCTTGAGAACGGTCCACATATCTGCGACCTGAGTGGTGATCCCAAGTCGGACGGTTGGAAAGCAACGGTGAAGGGATACAACTTCATCACTTCCCATGCCATTTGAATCCATTGTTTTATTGGTACAATAGACTTTTACTTGGGAAAAGATGTTGCTAAGAAATGAACTATTTTCCATCGATGAACCTGCCGAGGGGTCAAAATGTTTCATAATCAAACACGTCTCCGTGAGTGCAGACTGAGTTCAGCGGTGATGGATCGCACAGGCTCTATTTAATTTGATTAGAATAAAAATCAGTATGGTCAGGCTTCTCCATAGTTTAAAGTAAAGTCTTTTGCCAAGTTCTTAGAACCCAAGTTGACCAACCAGTGAATCAAAGAAAGTGCATCACTTCAAGAATGATATCTTCGCTCATTCATATCCTCAATAACATGGCTGACACTGCTCAAGGTTAAATATGAAGTATGGTCGAGAATCAAGAGACCTGACCAAATGGCGTGATGAGCTTACATATATGTAAAGCACGCGGAGACTCCGTTACCCCTCTTTCCCTTGCGCCCTTCTATCTACTGTCACTTTCATGCTTAGCAACTATTTGCTAGAATAAGTCTTTGGCTTATAGAATGACGGACATATAAGAAAGTTGCTCCTCCATCTTTTTCGTCTTCGACGTCCGCTTGTCTCTTACATCACCTCCCTCTCAATAGCACTGCCTCTCAACCATCATAGTCTCCAAAACACATAGAGTAAATCCACATGAGCAGAATGAGTGCCTCCGAGGATAAACACATACCCGTTACCATTGTTAGCATTGACTCAGGTCAATTATCTGGCCTGCAATTTCCGAACAACACGCTTGCATTTCTCGGAATTCCCTATGCTGCACCACCCATCTCCTCGTTACGCTGGCGTCCACCACAGCGTCCTCTTCCATGGACTGGTGTTCGCTCGGCTGTAAACTTCGGTCCTAGCGCCGTGCACTTCCCACCGCCGCCTAGGTCGCTGTACTTCGGTGGGGAGACCGACTTCAACGAGGACTGTCTGTATCTGAATGTGTGGACTGGCTCTAATTGCGAAGGTAAAAGACCAGTGTTACTTTGGTTCCATATGGGAGCTTTTCAATTTGGGAGCGGCTCCAACCCGTTGTATGATGGTCGTAAGCTTGCCGAGGAGGGGATCACGGTTGTTACTGTGAATTATCGGCTTGGGAGGTTTGGTTTTTTGGCGCACTCCGAGTTGACTGCCGAGTCAGAGTATCAAGCGTATGTTTATTTTAGTACACATTTTTCTTCTGAAGATTCCAAAAAGCCCGATCGGAGCTGGAGATCTGCCTTATGAGCTTTCAAGTCCTTCGTTTTTTTGAAGCAACGTTTGTTGATACCTATGCTAACGATTATGAAGATCAGGAAACTATGGTATCATGGACCAAATTGCTGCGCTGGAGTGGGTACAGCGGAATATTCGGTTCTTTGGGGGAGACCCAAATAACGTAACCATCGGTGGAGCTTCAGCAGGAGGTAGCAGCGTGCAAATCCTAAGAGCCTCG